AACAACTTATTTGCTGACTATTTCATACTGAAGCAAAATATTTCTTACTGTAACCCGTGCGATAATGTCAGCTGGAAATCGTTTATATTCTACTGTGTCCTGTATAAATTCTTACCGAAAATATCTTTGAGAACACAATCATCATTCCTAATTCAAGTTAAAACAAACCATAAAAATGAATATAAAAGTATATGCACAATGTTGGATTTGAATTTGGTTCGTGTGAAGGGAGGCTGCCAGATTTACCCCTATACAAAAAGGGCGTCTAAAATTAGGTCAAAATGTTTTGGACCACAATGTTTCAATATCTATTGACGGGGTAGTGACTATAAAATAAATTCAAAAGCATAGAATAAATAAGTCTAAATACAAGATGGGCATTTTGTTACGACTCTGAAGTCATAAACTTAGTAACAGAAAGAAGTAAAACCAATATGTTTTATAAAATTTAACAAATAAATTAATTTGTATCGAAGAAATAAAATACAAATTTAAGAGGAACTTATGAAATTAAGACTTGAATACAAAATAATTCTAAAATAACTTTATATTCGAAGTCTGAAGGAAACTAATGTTTCTAATGAATTTCAGACCTTCGAATGCACTGGTTTTCCAACAGTTCTGTTTTTTGAAAATGGCATTGTCCAGAACTCCTTTTGATTAATTCACATTAGTTCCAGAAAAATATTTTCGACCAATTAGTAATTTGCAGCTTCAATAAATGTTCTAAACAGATGTTTCATCTTAAATAAGCAACAAAATGTTGTCTAAGCACAACATTAAATATATCTGTTACAACAAGAACAAAAGAAGTATGTATATATATATATATACATATATAATATATATATATATATATATATATATATATATATATATATATATATATTGTCCAGCTCCACTACTTATATACATGCGTAAGAGAACTTCTTCTAAGAACCAATCTGACCAACCTGTCCAATGGGAATCATCCCCTAACTCAATAACGGGCTTTATTATTAATATTTTTTTTAATGGTCGTAAACATCTACGTCAACAACTATTTATAGATCGTAAACAATCTATACTCTTAATATCTTAAAATACAATTTTATACCCGAAGTGAGGGAAGTGAGCAATACCGAGATAATATGGATGAGAGAAGTGAGCAACACCACGATAAAAGGGATGAGCGAAGTGAGCAACACCGCGATAAAAGGGGTGAGCGAAGTGAACAACACCGCAATAGAAGGGATGATATAAATCTTACAATACCGAATAGAATTACAAAAATAGCAAGAGACTCGTTAATTTTAATAAACGATATAAATGAAATCGTTATGAAGGAATTAATGATTTATCAAGGCTGATGTATGAGAATGTTTGGAATTTGAAAAAAGTTTGGATTTTTTAAAATCAGTTTTTCCATCAATTAACAATAAAAGAACGTAAGAGACGAGATGTTATTCCAGTGGCATTATATATGAAAAATCTGTATTGTGACATTTTTAACATGGAATCATATACCAAAAGTTCTTTTTGCAATCTATTGTAATTTGTAAAGCATGTATAACAACAAAAAAGGGATTCATTGGCGACACACACCCCCGCAAATATATTATTAGTTGTCGTCCGTATTAAGGCATTATAAAGGATTGCAAGCCTATAGTTTGAAGAGAAAAATACCGAAATGTGAGTTGGAGGTTTAACGCCATTTTTTAAAAGGCTTTACACTGCGGAATGTACATTTAATGAAGGAAGAGCCCTGGAAAATCCCAGGAAGAATCAAAGACCTATTGGAATCTACTGCAAGCTTACTAATATATCCACACTGGTCGAGCAAAGACGAAAATCCACGTTGACAGAGGTGAGAAGGGAGTGATGGGTAAAGGCGACCGTCTAGATCATTGGGCCACCCTGGGCTCCTGAAAAAGAGATTGGACTAAAGATTGTATGAGTTTGTAAAGTATAAGAGAGCTGCTAAAGAAACAAAGCAGTTAATTCCATGAATGTGTGTCATATTTGGAATGGAAATTCAATACACAGTAACAGATCATGGTGATTTCAGTGAAAAGTATCGTTGAAGCACATAATCAGCCTAATTTAAATTAGAAATGTAAAATATACATTAAAACTTTTATTTACACTTTATAACCTAAATAATCCCACCTAATTTGTAAAGCATTTGCGAGACGGTAATCCTTAAAAAGTACAACAATGATGAACAGTTAGGTGTCCATTGATAGAGATTTTGTAGTCGATATGTTTCTAAGATGGAACTAATATTGTATCAAAAACAAATTATATGCGAAAATAGTCTTATGATTATGATACATTGAAGCACCTGTCCAAAGATTAAGTAATAAGAAGTATTTCGATTCTATAGCAAATGGTCTGGAAATTAAAACAATGGTTCTAAGAAAGATCATCTAACTATATGACTATACTGACGACTTCATTTTATTTTATACTTAAGTATAAAATATAGGAATTTATTGGCGAAATAATTTTCATATTTCTCTCATCCTTCTTTTTCACATGAGAAAATATAAAATTTCAAAATGAAACAACGCGATACTCAATTGTGCTTGCCTACAAAAGTTGTGCATGCAGAAAACAAAAGCGGGCATTAGGTGAGATATGGGAAATGAATAGAAACAGCCTTCCATTTCAGACAAGAAATTAATCTTTGAATATGAAATTTGACCAGACGCCATTCGCGTCTCTGCGAAGTTATTTCCCCATCCTTTCTTGACAATGACGACAAAGCCGTTTTGATAAATTGCTGAATTGGACATACATTACTTTCAGATAGTGTTGAAAAGTTTACAAAATGATAGAAATATTATTTACTGCGACATATTTATATGATCAGGGAATGAAAATGAGATGAATATACCAGTAGGGGTGAGGGTGAGAGCGTGTGGTGACAAGAATGGCTTTAATCTTCAATACCTCGATTCTGAAGCAAGTCTGGTATTAATAAAAAGAACGTTTCTTTTTCTGCGTTCGTCACTCGTTAAAATATCATGTTTTTGGCACCACACGATGTAATATATCCAGTATTAGCGTTGAAAAAGAAAATATCATATGTATTCAAAGAGACCAACTTACAAAATATAAGGATTCCACAACCAAACTACAAAAATATAAGGACCCTAGTTAAGTCTCGCATTGTATGAATAAATGTTGATTGATTACCTGCATGTATAAAAATCTCATGGAAAATTTTATGATAAAGTCGCTTAGTGATTTTTACTATAAATTTACATTGAAATGATCCTTTAATGTTATGTTTTATTTGTGAAGAATTCGGAAATGGATGGATGACAAATTGTGAACTAGATAAAGCTAATTAAGCACTGGAAATTATTGATTGAGCAAGCTTAATATCAAAGAGTTCTTTGTGTTTTAAAAATGTTTAAATCTTTTACGATCAATTAGGAGCAAAAGAACATAAGAGATAGTGTAACCACCAAATTATTTTAATGACGTTGCAAATGAAACACCTTGTTTTAACATTTTCAACCTGCATTCATGTGTCAAAGGTTCCTTTTGTAATCTTTAGTGATTTTTAACCCATTTAAAAGAAAAATGAAGGACCGATCTAAAGATATATTGGCTGCACGTGAACATAGGTGAGACGTGAATGATCTGTTAAGGCGATAGCCTTGATTACTGTCCTACCGTAAGCGCCTGGAAAAGAGAGAGAGAGAGAGAGAGAGAGAGAGAGAGAGAGAGAGAGAGAGAGAGAGAGAGAGAGAGAGAGAGAGAGAGAGAGAGAGAGAGAGAGAGAGAGAGAGAGAGAGATTTGCATTGTTAACGTAGTTTTAACAATGTTCCGTCATTTCGCTACGATGTCTGCAGTGTGACAATTTATAGTGATGTCGAGCACTGAGACATCATGCTGCAGACATATAGCATCATGCCCTACTCGTTTACATTATCCTGACACTAGGCCTACCAGTCCTAACACTAACCTCTAAACGCTGAGCGCCAAGCGAGGCAGCTGTTAGTACCATTTTTATAAGTCTTTGCTATGACTCGACAGGGTCTCGAATCTGCGACTTCCTTCATTCGAGGTGGACGCTTTAACCTCTTAGCCACCGTAGTGGTATCCAGGAAAATGATCGATTATGGGTTGCATGATTACTTGCAAAGAATACGAGAGTTGCTAAAGAAACAAAGGAGCTAATTCCACGAACGTGAATCACGCATGGAATGGAAACTGTCGATTCATTAGATAGTAACAGATCATGATGATCTGAGTGGAATGTGTTGTTGACGCACATAATGAGCTTAATTTAAATTACAAACGTAAAACATTCATTTACACTTTACCACCTAAATACTCCCACCTTATTTGTAAAGACTGTAATCCTGAAAATGTACATATAATGGTAAACGGATACCTATCCATTGCAAAGGATGCTATGGAACATTTTAAGATAAAATAAACAACGTCATATCCTACTTGTCGTTGTTCGAGAACATGTCGCACAGGAAACGATTTCGTTTTTTTTTTGATACCGTTGTCTGGCATTCTATTAAGATTAAATTATTAGTTGCAGTTTTTACACCTAGCAGACGATGGTGTTTGCATTTACTGTGACGTAATTTCAATGAGAAGAATGTTTCCATTTCAGTGAGCGATGTCATATACCGGAAAAGTTTAGATGCAGAATGTCAAACTTTTCATCTGGTCACACAATTGCCCCAGGCAACTATTACGGTCCAAAAGGAAGATGCCAGCAGCATGTATATGTAATTCTTTTTTTTTACATGAATAATGTTGCCAGCTGACACTCGAAATGAATATTTGAAGTATCTATACTACTTATTTATAACACAGATAATTTCGATATAACAGGCAGTTGGTCTAAATTTAGTTTGGATAATGATGCCAGGACAGAAAATATATAAAGAAAAAAAAATGAAGCAAATTTTCTTTAATGTAACGTGAACTGATACAAACCATCAATTAAAAATTGTTTTCTAGTATCATTACCACCTACTACACCGCACCGGTGGCCTAGTGGTAGAGTGTCCTCCTCTGATGCGGGAGGTCGCAGGTTCAAACCCAGGTCGAGACATACCAAAGACTTATAAAAATGGTGATAACAGCTGCCTTGTTTGCCGCTCAGCAATAAGAGGTTAGTGGTAGGACTGGTCGGCTTGGTATCTGGATAATGTGACTGGATGGGACATCATGCTACATGTCTGCAGTATGATTCTCCAAAGTCAAATATCGTTATAAACTGTCACACTGCAGACATCGTTGTTGTTGTTGTTGGGCTTAACGCCATTTTTCAGCACACGATAGGTTAATCATGGCGGCCAGTATTAATGGTGGAGGAAGACACCGGGAAATCACCGGAAAGAACCACCGACCTACGAGAAGCTACCTCTGGTATCCACATTTGCCGTATCTAGGACTCAAACCCACGCACAGAGGTGAGATGGCAGTGATCCGTAACGGACAGCGCTTTAGACCACTAGGCCACTCGGGGCCTCTGCAGACATCGTAGCGATATGACTGATAAATTGTTAAAGCTACGTTAAAAATTTAAATCTCTCTCTCTCTCTCTCTCTCTCTCTCTCTCTCTCTCTCTCTCTCTCTCTCTCTCTCTCTCTCTCTCTCTCTCTCACACACACACACACACACACACACACACACACACGAGACACCATATTTTACTGGGTTACAATTCACAGGGCTTTAAAGGTGGACCATACGGGCCAAATGGTCTAAGGCGCTCACCTTTACAGATCACTGATGTCTCTCCTCTCTACGTGTGAGTTTCAGTGTCAGTTTCTGCTTATATGGGTCTGTGAGAAAGTCTGACAGTAGCTTCCTGTTGCTCGTTGGTTCTTCTCAAGATTTTGCCAGGTTCCTTCGCCCACAAATATGCTGTCCGCCATCAATAGTCTATCATATACTCAAAAAAGACGTTAAAACCCACAACAACAGCAACATACGTAGAATCAAAGTTCATATATCAATAATTACTTGGATAGCCATAACAGGTGAAGCCTCATATGAAAAGCGCACATTCACATGAACAAAAGAGACATAGTCAAACGGTAACATGTCACAAACATGCAGTGTATAGTCATCTTAAAAAACAAACATTTATTCAACTCATATTAGTAAAACATAAAATGTATAAAACAATGACCTAATTTAGCTGTAATGGTATAAGTTCTGCCAGGGATGCATCCAATTGTCAGAATTTGTGATAGGAATATAAACGGCAACCAATTAGCTTTTGACTGAAGATAAACTAATTTTACAAAAAGACGTAGGACGTAGTAAGATGCGTGTACTCCAGACGCTTGATGGCTAACATAGTATATATCTAACATGAAAAAAAAAACACGTGGGCATGAGCTACATGCAATGATTTCACCAGCAGAATATTAAATATAGGTCAAGATGAGCCTCTATTATTGTAGATGTGTGGTAGTTAACAGAGATGCATATTATCAGTTTCACGATTCTAGTATGGACATGACCTGGCGAAGAACAACATACATCAAATTTAATCCAAATCAGCAAAGAGTAACCATGGTGACCTCCTACTGAATATTGCTCATTAAGATGAATGCTCAAGTTTCTCTTGATACGATATTATGTACTCATCATGTGATAACGTATGAATTAAAGAGCTAAATGCATAAACGTAAATAAACTAGTAAAATGTGAAATATATATATATATATATATATATATATATATATATATATATATATATATATATATATATATATATATATATATATATATATATATATATATATATATATATATATACATATAGTAAACTTATATAAGTACGTAATGTAATACTAAGAGATGTATTCACTACACTATGTTAGTCTGGGTTAATGCTCACTAGGTTAGTATGGGTTAATGCTCACTAGGTTAGTCTAGGTTAATGCTCACTAGGTTAGTCTAGGTTAATTCTCAAAGCATAAATAGTAGATGTAGAAAAAACAAATTGAAACAAAGTCTGTGAAGAGGATAATTTGGAATACATCGACCAATGAGTGTAGTATTAATCAAGATATTTTCTCTCACCAAGTTTATTCAGTACAGCAGTATTAAACATTCGATCAAAAACCAATCTATGCATGAGCCAAATGTAACAACTGAAGGTAAGCCTCTAGAATGTGAAATATAGGTCACAATGACTTTCTTTTCCAGGGGTATGGTACTAATAAAGATTCATATAATCATCTATTTTACCTATTCTGGCATGTACAGTGCTCGACTTTGAACCCAAGGTAGTGACGTAGGAAAATGAGTAGCTGTGACCTACTTTTATGATGAAGGCCTAATACTCATCGAAATGTATTCCATCAATAACATTAATGAATCGTTGGATAACAGTATATGCACGTGGTGTTTGAACCTATTTGGCTCTGAGCTCAATTAAAAATGTAGTATAAGCATTAAGGTGTGAACTATTGGTCACTATCACAGCCCTTTGTTACAATAGTGGGAAACTAACGGACATGCAATCTCTCAATTAGTTCGCATCTTCAGAAATAAACTTAAAGAACGAATTGTTAAAAAACATCAGTGAAGTTTAGTATATGGGTCACATTCACCTATTTTGTAAGATAAGCCCCTCAACAAGTTTGATGATTATAGGCGAAATAGCAACACAGTTTGGTACCCACACCAAACTTAAGCTGTGCAAAAGTTGTTTCTTACCAAAGTTTCTGGGGGCCCCAAGTGGCCGAGTGGTCTAAAGCACTCACCGTTAAGGATCTCTGTCATCTCACCTCTGTGTGAATGGGTTTCAGTCTCGAGCTCAGCCAATGTTGGTATATGAGAACGCTTGCCGGTAGCTTCTCATGGGTCGGTGGTTCTTTCCGGGGTTTTCCCGGGTTCTTCCTCCACCATCATCACTGGCCGCCGTGTATAGCCTATCTTGTACTGAAAATGACGTTAAACATTATAGCAACAATCAAAGCTACTGTATGGGGAGGAGTGTTGGCTTATGACAGAGTGTGTTTTTCCAGCTCTAGTCATTACACTCTTGCAGGCTACTGCATATCTTTCGGCCAAGGACAATTTCAAACATGACCAGTTTTGCGATGCCACCAAGAGAAGATGCTGGATATGGATCGGTCATGTGTCGCGAAAGGAGGCAGAATTAGCTTTATCGGACAGCACTGTACATGATACCTGACGGACAATGGAAGTGTTGGAGTCCTAAGAAAACATGGCGTTGTACTGTTGAGTACGAGATAACGACGCTTTTTCACAGCTGGGGCACACAAAAACTTATCAGACACAGACAGAAGTAGATGGATACATACATACATACATACATACATACATACATACATACATACATACATACATACATACATACATACATACATACATACATACATACATACATACATACATACATACATACATACATACATACATACATACATACATACATACATACATACATACATATCTACACTGATGCCTCCGCAGTTACATGGAGTAGTTCGATAGTTTATGTCTGCACCAGAGATGATCTAAGGCAAATTTACCCAATCATTTTTTAAGAATATGCAATGATACAGTGAGTTGCAGAATATCCCCATTTTGCATATTTATTTATTTTTTTTGAGAACTGGCGCTGAATGTTGAGAAGCGTTGACAAGTTTTATCTTTGACGGATATAATTGATGGGTCGATGAATGGATGAATGGATGAAAAGATAGATAACAATATTCGCGGTCCTCCCCAGTTCAGGGAAAATACATTTCTTCAAGCTATATAGGAGAACAGGCAATGACTAGCTTCTTTCTCTAAATTCCCCTTAATTCATAATTTTCGAAAAATTATGTTGGCCAGAGGCTAAAAGTAAAACTTTGTTGTAGATCTATGCTAAGTACATATAACCTTCAAGATTTCAAAAAAAAATCAGTTAATCAGTGTTGGATGTGAAATAAAGACGAATTCAGTTAAAAAAATACAACTTTCTTTGACTTTTTTCAAGAGAGCACAGACAAAAAAAATGTAAAACCTTTTGCTTATCTACAGCAGAAATATACTTAGCGTACAAAGTGATCATTTGCGGCCTTCCCCAATTCCCGCTTTTGAACAATTGTTGAAGAAATAGTCTCCCGAAATGGGCCAAATTTAAAATAAAAATTTGTATTTCTCTTCTTCACTAACCACATATCTAGCTGACGAAGTTAAATATCATTCAACCAGAATAAGAGAAATTCCGATAACAAAATAAATTTCCAAAACAATCCTTTTGGACATTGTTTCAAGATATTTCCCCACAAATTACACAGTCGCAAACTAAGTAAAACCGTACAGCGCATTTACACCAACCACTTATCTACTCTACAAAATTTCAATACAGTCCGTCTATTGATGTGTTAGGAAAAGGGCTGATGAACTGACGTTCCTAAAATTATTCTTTATCTAATTATTCACCAAACTCCTCCAGAAGCATCCACGCGAACCACACGAAAATTTTCGCAAGGCATCCACACGATCCACATATCTAGCCAACAGAATCACGATAAAATTATCCAATCGGCGATTTTGGAGCTTCAGTCACTATATTCTCAAATTAATCGAAATATTGGTCAAAAGAAAAAAACGAAACATTCTGTAAATATTCACAACAAAGTTGAAACACTGCTTTCCAAACTTTTCCCATTTTGACAGTTCTACAATATATTTATGAAAAATATTGGCCAGAGGGAATGATAAAACTTAATTGCAAACCAGTAGATACCATGTTTCTGGCCAAAGAAGTTCCATTAAAAAAGCGATGATAATCTTTCTCAAAAACTGATGGACAGGTTGAAGATCTGACGCATGGATAGTAACAACAATATCGCGATGTTACTGAATAATGAATAATTGGGCAAAGGGCTTGTTGCTTTTTTCAAAATGGAAATAATGTATAATAGATAATCTTCTAGAAGCAGATATTTTAAAGCAGATTTTAAAGTACCAAAAATATCCACATAATTCTTGTACATATTATCCATCGCAAAAAAATTCAATGTGTGGAAGATTTATTACCATTACAAAAATAGTAGGTAAATGCACGAA